CGGCGTGAGAATATACATGGAAACTCCCTCTATCGACCTTTGGTCCAAACAGATGAGTTAAGAGAAATGTTGATGTCCCGTCCGTTAGCAAATTAACATTGGATGATAGAGACAATGATAGGCCTACGTGTTGATAGAAGAGGATATTCGGATTATGCGAATGAGAGCACACCTAATGAGAAAACGAGCCAAATATATGTATAAAGATAGTGTTTCATTTCAGTCTCAGCATATAAACATTGAAATATAAAACACATAAAAACATAGAAGGCGAAGCCACAGTGGTAACGGAGACTATATGGACAGATTTTATTTAATCATGTTACAACATGCTACATTTTACAGGCTTTTTTTATAAATAGTTATATAACATCATATTATGAAATGTTTCAAAATATTACATAATTATAAATATACATACACATTTATAAGTACATTATAAATATATTAAAGATGTGAAAGAAGAGACGCTGAATCAGCAAACTGTCTAACAGTTAACATTCCATTTTATTTTGAAACTGGTGTCTCAGTTCTTGAAGATGTCGTTCAAGGTATCCGTATTTCTTCGTCGTGGGTTGTCTTTGGCCTTCGGCATATTGCACCAACGAGGTGTAGGAATAAACTTATGTTCAAGTTGAGCATTAGCCATTTCGAAATCGAATGTACACTTTCATGCTTCTTCTCATTACATGTATATATCCCAATGTAATTAGAGGGGAACTGATCCAGAGCGATTAATGTTTCTCGCCAACAGTCTAATTACCAAACCAAACTGCAAGCTTGTCGGTATCTGCTCCCTCGACCGTGACGGACACAGGGACTGGGCTTCTGGCCACCTTGACAAAATTTCTTCAACCCAAACAGCGGGACATTAGGAAGGGTGGATGCTCATCAGATGCTGTTACATGTATTTGAGAATACCCCCAGTAGTTCCTGTCTGATTGCAATGAAGTATACCAGCAGTGTATATGCTTTTCGGATTTTTTAATGCATAGATGGCATAGTGACTGATCCAATTTTTCAATTTGATCTTATTTCTGTGTTTTTTTACCTCGATATTTAATCATGCCATGTAAACATATGATGTCTATTACATATTATATTTATGACAAATGAAAATGTACTCAGGTATATACAATTTTAACTTCAGTACACATCCAATGCTTATATGTATTTCTTATGCAACAATGTAATTCGTTCAGTATCCTCCAAACAGTGTCGGCCCATAACTTTTTTCAGGCAATTAACATTGCATGCAATTCAGCGATTATTATCCCCTTTGCTGTAACTAGCTGAGTGTTTGGTGGTATAAACCTACACATGTTATTTGTCATCATTCACTTGATGGTCAATTAATGCATTTATAACAGGTATGATGGTAATACCACTCAGGTTACCCGCCAAAGGTTCCCATTTCGCATTTCTTGTGTCTGGTGTAAATACATGTATTCAGCATTATGAATTGATGGTCTGATGTGACAAATGTATTACATGTTATGTAATATGCTCATGGAACTGCAGCAAGACGAATTATCAGCTGAGATACAAAACAAACATTGATCAATGGATTAACCGATAACACGCTGATTGATTAATTACTTTTTTCTTGCACAGTGGATTTGTCAAAAGGTAATGTTTATGTATGTAGATTTACTAATCTATACTGATTACACCCTGTCCTGTACCCTGTACCTGTGTAAAAACAACATCTTTCCTTCAATGTATTAACCGCCAGTAAGTTGATGGGGGTGTTCCTCTTTTGCCAGTCGGGCAAGTTGTTTATTTAAGGCGTAAGAGGATCACCAGACCATGTTAATTAGCAAGACAATGGTGCGAGGTGGGTGGGGAGTGTGGGGAGGAGATGACCAAGCCAAGAAAAACACAAGTGGATTTAATGCTCATTATTGGCTAATTAGATTACCTTTTAAAGAATGGCGGACATCATGCAATTCGTTGACCAATGAGATTATACACCAATGTGAAAACTGAATCGATGTATCCCTTTTCGGGTATTAGACTGTTAAAAGACACTTGGCATGGAACGGGATTCTTTGTCAGCTGCAGATCAATGGCATATTGTTCCTTTATGTGAAGGTAGTGTCCCATTTTTGACAGCGTCTTGGTCACTGATTCGCGAAGTTTCGCTCTCAAACCTGGGATAACTAGCTGCACCAATTAAGGGTAGTTATGTTAATGCAATCACCTGAGAGAAGTACAGAACAAGTAAAATTCTTCAACACTAATACAAACTAATACTGGAGACGAACTGCCAGCAGGAATGGTACCATTATATGGAGATATCAGTGCCTGAAAACAGCCTCAGTCACTACAACAGCAGATGGGACTGTTGTCAGAAGAGGGGACAAACAGCATACACATCCAGACCAAAGCTCTATTGGCTCCTATATCCAAATTTGAGGCTGTCAAAATCGGGACTTAACCTATGTGGATATTGATGGATACATTCCTCGAACAAGGTAATAACCTGACATTGTTGCAGACTTTAGTCGGTGTGTTATTTCTAATATTTGCATTTTGTTTTTATTCATTTGTGGTAGCATTCAACAGAATCATTTGTTTTCGCCGTAATGAGACAGACAACATACACTAGGTCATACCTAGGGTGTGTGTGAAATATGATTCTTGTTGGCATTCTATAAAATGTCTAGATGTTACAGTCATGTTATAAATACGCTATAAGTATAATCGTATGCTTTTATTAAGTTTCAAAATGCATGCCAAATATGGCAATATAATAATTAGGATTATAAGACAAAATATATAGACATACATTGACTTCGTTTTTTTCAGTCCTGACATTTTTACCACTGGCAGATGATTAAACTTCAAAGTGTTTTCATTTCATTTTCAAAATGATGGAAATATTATCGAGTAAAAAGATTTTATTTTTGTTGATCAATCTACACCTATAACGATCAATTGCGCATGCGGGTTAGCAGCAAAGGTCACGAACCAATCGAAAGTACTGGGATATCATCCGGGTACTCAGGGAGAAAAGCAATAACAAAAGCAACAACCAGTGCGGAAATTGCTCTGGATCAGTGCCTTGTTAAATGTGTTTACCATATGATTGTTTTGATCATGTTTTTACACGGTCGGCTTCAGTGTGCGCGATTTGTTCACTTCCATCAACCACCAGCTTGTAATAACATCGTCACATGAGATTAGCCATGTGCTAAAATAACACCCAAACTTTAAAGCGTACCTTGTCAATGTCCTGAGCCTTATAAGAATCGAAGGTCGGCTTCCTGAGTCGACATCTCAAACTATGGTATGTAAGTGGTAATAATTCCCGAGCATTAGAGAACAGATTGGCTTGGTTGGAATTTAATGATTTTCATAAACTAGAATCTCATAAACTATTTGTCTCTGGAATCATCTGTGATATGAACTTGTGTAGTGGTTTCTCTAGAAATTATTTAACGTTATCTAAAATTAAACATTTAGTCACCTTTTATTGTATATGACCAAATTAATTAGTTACACTATGAAGTTTTAAGAAGGGATTCATTTGGGTTCTTTTGCCCCAGTCCGCCTGTGTGTGGACAATATAACCAATTATCTATTATTAAGTTCATGATATTTCGTGGAATACACCAACTGCATAACACCGTCTCTGACCACAAACCCAAACGGGTTGCTCTCTATTCGCTCACAGTCTTAAAACAACATTTCATGGTCTGTTGACTGTTGATTTCATAATGATAAACCACCTAAACGGTCCATCCCTTGTGTCAGGTGTTAATTAGAGGGTACCATTAAAGAATGTATTCTACTACAATAAGCCTATTATTCCCTGGCAAGGGTTCACTTTTATGACATGTAATAAACAATGGCCAGTCAGTCAGTGGGTCGGTAAACTTTTATTTAATCAATGATGTAACGTAGGTCTATGTAATTTGTGTTTATGCAAACCGTGACAGGTCAAAACTATTTGCGCTTTTGTGGATAATAAGTAAACCATACACTTAAAACTGTATTTTGGAAAATGCTAGCCATATCAGGGCAAATATGACAGTTAATGCCAATTTTGACACCTAGAACAACCAGGATGCAGGACGAGAGAAGTTATACCAGGAATAATCTACAACGTCTTATAGTCTCCCTGGTTATAGTTGATCGCATAGGAGGACGAATACACTCCTAGGAGGACGAATACACAGTCTATACACTCACGGGGATCCTTGGGAAAAGGAGAAACTGAAAGAAGTAGTGGTAAAATCCTTCCTAAATTTCCAAAGATTTCCAAGCCTTGGAAATATCATCTTTCCAATTTTGGAAATTTTTGGAAATATCATCTTTCCAAATTGGAAATTTTTGGAAATCACCATTTTTTTTCTTGTGGAACCTGTAGTGATGAAACTCCCAAGATGCCCATATCCCACATAGTTTTCTCTTGTTCATAGGAAATAACCTTGGCCTTTTTGGTACGAATTCCAATGCGTTTCGATCCTTCTTTCATTACACTGTCCAATATATTTCGCAGTTCGAGAAAAACGTTATCCGACAGGAATTTCAAATCCCGACCACACTTCGTCATATGCATGTTCAATAACAGCACTAACTGTCGGAGACTTTTCGGATTATATTCAGATCCATCGCTTTTGCGCACCTCGCATACAAAACGACACAGAGAGTAATTAACAGGTTCGGTCCAACCCCGAACGGGTACTTGAACTCGTTCGGGAACTAACACCCCGATCGGGATAATAAACCCGTTCAAAAAACGCATAAAAACCGCAAATTACACTCGCCCAGCCTCAGTACACAACGGCGCACAATGGTGAGTGTTCACAATAATCGACGAAGCCCCCCACCACTGCACAGTAACACACGTGGGTCCAAATGACGCCGCATTTGGGGCGCCACCCCCACAAAGCAGAGGACCCCGTTCACAACGAATACACAAAATGCCCTCAAAATAAGTAAATGACATCATGTCATGACACAATGTTAGCAAAAATAGACTGTTCACTCACCACGTTTTCAATGTTGGCGCCAAGGAAGTCGCAAGCGCCCTCTAGTTGTCCGTGGGAGGGGGAAACAACTCCACCACCGGTTCGTCTGCTGGAAATGATGGAAGCTCAGTGAAGACACAAATCGTGTTTGTGAGCTACGTCAATGAAAGGTCAAAGGAGGCGTAATCGTACGTGACATGTGTGCAACGTGTACAGATTGAGATGATCATGTTGCATGTAGTGAAATGGAAAGGGTGATGCCAAGTAATGAAATAATTAATACAACATATATACTGGGACGCTGAACACAACATGTATAACGTAAGCATCAGAGATAAAAAAACCCGAAATACCCCGGCAATGATGAAAGGCTGACAAAATTAACAATAGTAATGATAATGATGGAATAAGTCATGGAAAATTTAACCATAGGAGCAAAAAAACAAAGCAACGTGGAGAAAGGCTGGAGAAGAACGGGTCCCAAGAAGAGGCACCAATCACCACACGGGACCCGTTCGGGTGGACTATATCACGGATCCGGACAGCCGTGCCAAAAGCTTTTACAAGCGAAGGAAGACCCTCCTGGAAAAGGTATGTAATTATTGAAACATGAAATAGTTACTCACCACTGTCATCGTTATCCACCATAGCTTTGAGTTGGGCCAAAAACGCTTCCATCTCTGGCTTCGTCTTGGATTTCAGAGATTTGTGGGCCTCTGTCACCTCTGCATTAGGCTGCATGCAATACACAAAAATTCATGGTTCACATGATGGAAGATGAACACTCGAAATAACACGTAATGACATACTGTGCGATGATGCCTATGACACAACAACACACTTAAAGTTAAGATGCAAGGAAACATCGTAAATCACAATGAAAACAGACATAGGATGGATGGAAGAAGGCACAGTCATATTAAATACGTCAGAAATTGTGTCTGAATAACGAAACAATGTGCATATACATCATGAAGAAGTGTGAAACATGCATCATCGACATCAATATCGGTCTCAGATGATGCACATGAACAAATGGACCCAAAAATTGTATCACCTGCCCAATAGGCTATAAAACATGACACATAACGATTGCTGGCGTGTACGGAACAATAATATCCGTCCGTTGTGTGGATAACGCTTGAACAGAACAATTGAAATGTGGAAAACCACAGCTCTATAAACCATTAATGAATGTAAAGACACCATGCTGCGTACATAAACAGCATCCAGTAAAACATGTCTACAAATGATGCCTCCATTCACTTCCATTGATGTCACAATGCCATCAATTGCCGCCGCCAACTGCGCCCTGCTCATGTTACTGGGCTTTTCCGATTCCTCCCTCTCAGCTGCGGTGATAATTACCCTGGGCAGTGCCAAAATGGTCCCACCACTATGTCTCTGTTCACTGCAATAAATATAATGTACAGTACACCACTGTGAACAATCATATATATCATCCACCACAAATAACGGTACTGTATGCAACACACTTACATGTACAACCGCCTGTTCTCATAACACTGGTGTCGACATGTTACCAAATGGAGATCCAACAAGTCCCCAGGATGGAGCCCGCTGTGAGGTTGGATCTCCATTGGTCGCTGGAAGTGTCCAACACGTCTAAGCCAACGACGCCATCCCAGAATTTCACACTGTAATGAATCTTCATTAACAGTGGAAGACTGGTAGGCGTCGTGGTCGGTCCCCAGAACGGTCTCGAGCATCTGCAATACATGTAACATGATTAGTCATACGTCCCAGGCCACCAAGTAATCAGTCACATGCATATGATGAATGTGTTGCAGGCTAAAGAGTTACATATCATCACCGGGGCCCGGATAACGCTCACAATTGAGCCTGAGATGGGTGGGGAGGCCCAATCCTTTATTTCACACCTAGATGATCAGGTGGGTTTTACATGAATATTGATATGTGTAACATATGCATGATAAATGAATGGCATGAAATTGTGATTGTGAATGAATTGCTACATAATACACATGTAAGTACACCTATCCATAGTCCTGTCACCCGTGGGTTGCACAACAAACTGATGGCTGGTGAGGTAAGTAACCAAAAATGATTAACACACAGATCCTCCCCAACTGAGGATTCATAAATGCACTCGGTATAACTACATCTGTCATTATGTTAAGCAGGAAAATATAAAATGTAACAAAAACTATTTGTCACATTATGATAACCATCGTCAAATACGCACTACATTCAGCACCCCAATGATACATGAAAATCAAATTGCCATCACCAATAATGCACTACAACTCATGCTCCATACATTGGAATATTGGCACATGTAAAAGAAATGGATTCAAAGCATAACTGCGTAAATCGACAACTGTCGCACGCGGTGTTGTCGATGTATAACGATTTGGTTTTCAATAAACACATTCATAGAGGATAACCGTAAAAAGTGCTGGAAGGGACATAACTCTATGGGATTCGCTGTCATAAATAATCGTCTGCTATGCCAATCTACATCAGTCATAATGATCGGTAGTATGATGGGAGTTGAATTTACTGAGACACTGATTGTAAATGCATACCGATCACATTGGATATCAATGGTTTAGCATCACACTTGTTTGACTGGTCGTTATCATTATGGACATATATGTATTATGTATGATGTAGTGATGTTACAGTTGGATTTGTTATACCTTCAGATATCACACACGGATGCAGTCCGTCAGGAGGTTAGTAATCCCTGAGCCAAGCCACATCCTACATTGCGATTCTAAAGGAACGCTAACTGACATTGACACTGATAATAAACGAAAAAGTGCTACAATAACCCAGGAAACAAAGACAAAGAAATCTAAAAGCGATGAAACTTTTTGTCCATTATGTGGTGTTCAGTATGGGAGTGCGAATGATGTGCGATTGATTGAATGGGTGGGGTGTGAGTATGCAAGTGGTGTGAATGCATGTTCCTATTGGGCACATTGTTCATGTATGGGTGTTCACAGATCATCAAAACGTCATTTACAGCCTCTATCATCCTTTTGTCCTTCACATAATCATGACATTCCCATCAAGTATCAATGTTAATACATCATGCCATCCTTCATTTGTATTATCATGAATCATACATTAAATCATCAAGTATGTCACTGTGAGAGAATGTGAAGAGAGTCAGTTGTGGACAAATGTGCTGTATATTAATAAACATTTCAGTATATTTAAAGTTGTTGTTTTCTTATTGTGCATACGTGCAGATACTAATGTCATTATACCTTTTCAAGCTTATCCTGCAACTCCTCCTCCACGAATGTTCTGTTGGGACACCTGGTGGCATCCACATTTTGACCCGACGGTTCCTGGCTTCGAACATGAAATCCGCACCCTCCCCTCTACTGACATGTCCTGACGCAACCTCCCCTCTACTGACAAGTCCTGACGCACCCTCCCCTCTACTGACATGTCCCGACGCACTGATGACTTCGGTTGCATGTGTGAAATCATGAATATCCTGATGAGCTGAGTGTCGGAGGATGTCATCCTTCAAAATTATGTCCTGGTATGTTGTGCAGTTTAAGCCATAAAATATAGTGGATGCCACAGACCGCGAGTCCAACATGTACCTAGCAGAGTTGCGTCTAACAGAGGAGCGGTATGTAAAGATCGGGAAGATGAAGGTTCGGACAACATTCCATACAAACAGGTGTTTTGGGTTCTTCACTTCAAACATCCATCTCCTGAGATGTTGAGCACTTAATGGGCTATGGCTGCTCAAACATGCACGTACATATGGCAGAAGGAGCTCATCAAGTGTTCCATACATGTATATGATGATGAACATCCATGATTTATGGTGATTTGCTGCTGATTGGGCGTATGAAAGGGCATGTAGTGTTCTGAACCCGCACAGAAGGGCAATGTGCTTGATGCATGGTATCCATAGTAGTTTGAAGATAGCTTTCGTTAAATTCAGTTCAATATGTCCCGGGCCAGGTATCAGGAGGAAATGTTTGAACATGAGATGTTGTTTCATGTCTGCATCTGTTAGATAACTGTTGTGCATCTGTTGCAAGTGTTTAGCAAACGCAGCTTACCCAGTGTGTATTTCGGACTGGCATCGTGGACAGATGAACCAGTTACTTAACATCTTGGACAACAGACTGTAAGGTGATCCATCACACACGAGGCCTATCCATTGACGTACTGTCCCCAGTGCTGTCGTTTCCTGAAGGGTGGTGAGGATTGTTCGTAAACTATCATAGCTGTTTGGATTGCACATGATAGGATCTCCAAGGGACATTTGAGGTGGTGGTTGAGGGTGATTATGAGGTAGAAAACTGTATGGATCAGCAGATGTTTTAGTTGATTGCGGTAGCACAAATTGGGTGTCAGAATCTAAGTTATTCATATAGGTGCCTTCCGCTGTCTGTATCTGTTGTTTAACTAAGGTGTGTAGTCGTGACTCAACAAATTCATCGAACAGATGATTGATCATGTTGTCTGCTTCCATGTAATCTTTCAACAATGCATGGTATGACGGCCATGATGAGTATGACAGCCATAGGTAGGGTGACAAATCGGGATTGGTTTGTATGTTAGTGGCAGGATTTGAAATGTACATCACATTGGTTATTACACTCTGCTTTGTCTTACAATTGATCGTGATTCGCCAGTTCCTCTGTATTACTTGGTTGTTATCAAAGACAACCACTATATCTGTATTTTGAGGGCACTCGTTGGGGATGAGGGTACCAACTTCCAGTCAGTTTCTGATGCTGCTATATGACCCACCAGGTGTCATTGCATGTATGAGGTTACTTATTGTCTTACTCCCACTGGCGAAATAGCACAGAATGTTCAGTAGGAAGGCCACAGGTGTGATCATACTTGATGTACTGATACTGCATAGATTTTCTATACTGCGCACAAACAGAAGTTTGTTTTTCTTGGATAGATGGTGTACGTCATTACCAAGTAGTGCAGAAAACAGTGTAATGAGTTTGTCTGACAATTTGGACAATATGTTGGTGGCAAGATCAGCCTCATACGTCTCTGTCTGTCTATATAGTCCAGAAATGGCCTTTGTATGTTCACTCAAATCCTGGCTGAGTGATGATCCTACTGCAGTTATGATTTTTGTGATGACATTGTCACTGTATATGTTGTCTGCAAGACCTTGCAACACAATTGCTAATGCATCCACATGATGCTGGTCGGTAGGTCTTTTGCCAATTAATTCGCGTTCCGTATATTCTGCACAGGCCGTACATAAGTATGTTGATTTTGGCTTCAACCATCCATTGTCTGACAGCGTTTCTGTTACAACTTTGCGGTATTTTCTGGATTTAATCTGGTAAATGTGGTAATTGTCATCACTCACAAAATCATCGTGTTTGGAACAACTACATCTCTTCGTTGGTGTCATTTTTTTTACCTGCAATGTGAAGAATGTGACAATGTGAATTCATATTTTTGGGGTAGGGATGCTGTATCATTTCCTTTTTTTGTGTCCAACCACACCCCACACCCATCCGTATCTGTTTATGTACATCGTCCCTTGCACCCATGTCTGGGGAGGTCGGGGGTTTTCGAACTGTGTGTATACCCCCACATCTCCCACTCCATTTTTGTCCATAGTCCCTTCCACCCATGGCCGGGGGGTTCGGTGTCTGTTCATACCCCCCCCCCCCCCCTCTATTTCTGTACATAGTCCCTTACACACATGCCTTGGGGGAGGGGGCAGATGGTCGCTTGTGATGACAACCCCCAAACCCCACCTCCCACCCATATTTATGTAAATAGTCCTTTCCACCCACCCCGAACAGCACGCCACCCTCAACCACCACCAAGTTCTTGTTTCACCTATACGTCTTTTTACCCACTTGCATTGGTTAACTCTCCAGTGATGTGTCCGCCGGTCCTGTTTGGCTTATCGCCCTTCACAGGCAACCAGAGGGCGCTTGGTGTTCACTTCCGGACCAGACATGTAGCGTGGTGAGTGATGTTTGCATTTTTCATAACATTACATCATGTTGTTTATTTGACTCTTTTTGCGCCTGTCATGTGTATTAGTTCTGACAGGGGGCCTATGGTTAGGGGGGTTAGCGCCCCAAATGCGGCATCGTTTGGTCACACGTGTGCCACCGTCGCCACGTTGGCGGTTTCATTGACAAATATAACAACTCACCAGATTGTGCCGTTGTGTACTGAGGCTGGGCGAGTGTAAATTTGCGGTTTTTATGCGTTTTTTGGACGGGTTTATTATCCCGATCGGGGTGTTAGTTCCCGAACGGGTTCAAGTACCCGTTCGGGGGTTGTACCGAACCTGATTAAGTTCATCGTCGTTCAGATCCTCGAGTTTGTGAGATATTAAACTTAAACGCTGTCCGGATGTTTCCCCTCGTAAAATTCTCTGATTACGTGAATTTCTCCAAGTTTCAAAAAGACCACAGGCCCAACGTAAATTCTGTTTGGTATTTTGAGGCACACTTGTCTCGCATAATCCTGCAATTTCAGAATCCAACAACGGTACAGAAAATCTTTCATGATCACTATGCTTCCCACTACGGCCGCCAAACACATTCTCACTTCTTCCTCCACGTCACTAATATCGCTGTAATGTTGCTGAAGAAGATCCCTTTCCTCCGCAGTTTCCAGTGCTGTGCATAGAATTTCATCATCTCCAGAGTTTTCACTTATTGTCAAAAACTCACACTGTGAAGCTGGAATTAACGTATCGCCGCTGTCGGTCCCACTCATACCTGCTGCGTAATGAAGAGACATGTGCGCGGAGACAGTGTGTTTGTAAAGGTGAGATTTCCGAAAAGCACGTGCTTTACGTCCTCGGTTCATTAACCATCCTTGATGAGGGCCCGGAATGAAATCCTATGTACCCCTGAAGCTGATTAATTAAAGAGCATCGGGCCGCTTTCTCAAGACGACCTTCGATAACTGGTAAAGACATATTAGCGTTGATTTAACGACGATACGACCGTACGTGCCTTTAGGTAGAATACAGAATATAACACACATTAGCACGTGCCGTTCATGACATAAGTCGACCGCACCACAACCTTGCTTGCGCTTAAAAAACTATAGTCCATTCATTAAATTACAGACGCGTACCAAATAAATATTACTCTTTTATTTTATTAAAAGCAATATTTGTGTGCATGCTCTAAGTAGGTTAGAAGACTCGGACACGTTCTGTAACCGTGGATTAAGGCGGTTAGAGCCCTCGGCTCCGCGCCTCGGGCTCTAACCGCCTTAATCCACGGTTACAGAACGCGTCCTCGTCTTCTAACCTATACTTGTACCCCAGATCTACATGAGGACATGGGTAGTGTAATGGTCATCGGGATGAATTATAATTCCGGCCAGACAGTGCAGAGAGTGAGTTGGGTTGTACGCCGCTTTTATAGCATTATTCCAGCAATATCACGAGAAATGAGCTTCTCACATTGTACCCATGTGGGGAATCGAACCCGGGACTTCGGTGCGACGAGCGAACGCTTTAACCACTAGGCTACCCTACGGCCCCATGTGCAGTGATACTCACTACACTGATGATGGGAGTGGGCGTTTAGCAACTGAAGGTGATGACACACATGAGGGTATAGTGATAAGTGTGTTAGTTCCCGCATCTCCAGTCAGACAGGAAATATCTGATGCCACCACAATTTCCTCAATCATCCCAGGATTGATCACTATCAGCAGGGATTAGAAAGTCTCCATTTGTGTTTACTTGCAGACAATTTTCACTCAGAATTTATGTACAACGCATATTAATTAGTTTATAATTGTATTTATAGAATTATCGTGCAAAAACTCGTTTTAGAAAGCTCCAAACATTATAAAACTAGAAGTTTCGCAGCTTTGTGGAAAAGAAAAATCAATGGTAAATTGGCCACAATATAAGCTGACTTACCTAAGATATATATATTCATGGTGTATTCATCTCTAGTGTATCGATCTCTTTAGACAGGGACCCGTGAAGTTCCGGGTTAGAGTTGATCTTCTGTAACCCATGTTTGTCGTAAGAGGCGACTAACGGGATCGGGTGGTCACGCTCGCTCTTGATCACTGGATTGTTTGGTCCAGACTCGATTATTTACAGACCGCCGCCATATAGGTGGGATATTGATGAGTGTGGCGTAAAAATAAACTCACTCACTCACTTCAGACAGAGGCGGTGAGGTGGACTTGGCTAAAGCGTTCGGCTGTCACATCCATAAACCGTGTACAGACAATTCTGGCGTCCCCCCGCCGTGTTGGTAGACGCTAAAAATGCAACTCACTTAATCTGTTTCCACACAGTGGAGTGACGTGTTTCAATGTGTTTGTCGAGCATGACGGTGATTGCTGAATTCAAATGTGTGTGCAAAGTAAGAGATTTTACGAGCGCAACATTTGTCTGTCCACTGTCACTGCTTCTCCTCCTTCTTCGACTACAACTACTCATATTCTTGCTGCTACTACGGTTACTAACAACTACTACCCCTACCGCAACGACCAATTATACTACTTCATCTGATGCTTCCCCTGTTACGTCTACTGCAACTACTACTACCACTACTATATTCCTGCTGCTACTGTTCTGTTTGTTTGTTGTTTAATCGCCCCTCCATATTGTACATATCAAGGGAGACTTATGCTTATCGTGCATTGATAAATAATATCAGTACATATTTGGATTTGTTTTCTAACGCAGCATTCAACTATAGTCCAGCTACATGACAGGTCTGTAAATAAACGAGTCAGGTAATCCAACGGTTGATGTCATCAACTAAACCAGTTTGGTATAACGTGGTACCGGTATGTAACACAGTACAAACCTTTATAATGATCAAAAACCTGAAGTTCTTTGATTTAGAGAAAATCCGAAGTCCTCATACACAGTAGAGACAGGAGGCTTTCCTTGAGTAACAGGTTTTCTAGATGGAACACACATCATCCCTTCTGCCCCCATTGTTTAAAACAATGACTATTGCAACAGAAAACGGCTCCATTCGATGCAACGTCAGATAAACAAAATTCACGACAAACTGAATATGTGAGTAAAATGACAATCAGTCTCACCCGATAATGTATGCACCTTTAATTTAATTAAATCTTGGTAATCCAACACCTATCTAATCTGAATTCCGACGTTGTTTTGAGGGGAAATCTTCTGTGTGTAGTGTCACACCAAGGTAGTGCAATCAGGAAATGCCAATCAACTCGCAACAAGATTGACTCTCAAATGTCAATAATAGAGAAAACTCATTTAAAATTTCTAAA